GGAGCAAGATTTTAATGTTTCATTGAAGCACTACAACATAAGAGGGAGATTTACCGTATATACTCGTTCATAAGCCGAATTTTTTTTAGTAAAAAAGGGAAGCACCAGAGAAGGGGGTCGGCTTATGAACGGGTATAGAGAGAAGAGGTGGGATACAGCCCCTCCCCTCAACAGAGGGAGCAAGGAGAGGCAGCACAGCCAGAAGGGAAGAGGCGGGACCAAAGTCTCTCCGCTTCTGGCCACGCTGCTCTCCCCCCAGCCTCCGAAGCAGCTACAGCTCCGGAGCTAGCAGGCTGCAGCTGTGCCGCTCAGCGCCACCCCCCCCAGAGCAGGCTGTAGCCGTGCCACCCAGCCCAGCCCGCTGGAACATGCTGCGGCTGCGCCGCCTGGTCTGGCCCGCCAGAGCAGGCTGCGGCCGTGCTGCCCGGTCTGCCGGAGCAGCTCCAACCAGGTCAGAGACATCCTCTCCTGGCCCTCCCCAGATAAGGTGGGAAGGGATGGTATGGGGAGAGTGTGGGGGTCCCAGGCTAGGGGTGGGGTCATGTGGAGGGTGGTCACAGGGGTTACTCCCCTGACTCCCAGCTTCTCCCCCCCCCAAAATTTCCCCACCAGTTGTTGTCCCAGCCCATTAGGGTAAGCAGCTGGCGCGCCAGGACACTTTGTTTACTTAGGTTTACCTCCGTGCCTGTAGATGCTCCAGGTAAACAAACCATCTCGGCCCACCAACGGCTTATCCTGATGGCCCGGGAGCCAAAGTTTGCTGACCCCTGAATTATAGGGTCGGCTTATGAACGGGTTATAAAAATTTTCCATTTTTACTTATCCATCTTGGGGGGGGTCGGCTTATAAACAAACCGGCTTATGATCGAGTATATACAGTAAATTATCTTAATTCATCCAAAATGAGGGATTTCTTCATCCGTTCCAGATGAGTAAAATTTGGTAGGTGAAATTAATCACAATATTATGAAAAAGAAAAAGAAAAAACAACATGGGAGAGTGGAACAGGTGCCTAACATAAAAACAAGCTTTTGTTTCCTTTCTTGTTCCTTGAATGATTCAGTTTATGAGATGTACATGATCTGCTCCAGAATGACATGACACATAAAAGCTTCATTCAGTGAAGACAGTAAAAAATACATTTCCCTTCTTTCAACTACGAAGAAGAAAAAAAAAAAGACATGCTGTCCCAAATTTCATAATCACTGGGGAGAGGGGGAAAAAAGACTGCTTTATGGAGACTGGTCTTACACTGACAGACAGCCATTAGGGACAGGGTTGAGGAGGAGATCTCCTTTGAACTGAGGATGGATTTTAAAGCAGAGTATGTTACACCCTTCTCCATCTGTGATGAAGGATTTTGCTGTATTTTTAGAGAATTAGTTTTCTGAGATCCTCAGATGGAAGGTGCAAGTACTATTCTTTTTTATGAAACAATTCACTCATTTAGAAGGTGACAGCCTTCTGAATGAGCCTTCACTCAGTTAATAATGGTACTTTGCAGATATGGAAAGTTAACAGTTTTCATTTGTGTATTTCAAAACTGAAGAATATTATAACAACTACTATTGTTAAGATTTCAAAACTTCAGTGATAATAAATGTGACTCGTAATTATTAATTGCTCATAACTTTGTGAAAGATTCTCCCTTTGGACTGAAATTTTCCATGCTTGCCGTCTACTGAAAGGTGTTTAATTTAACACAAATTATGGCCACTGTTCTGAAGGTGACCAAAAACCTCTAATTTATTTTATATTCTGATCATCAGTAATTTCCAGCTCCATGGAAATAGCTCATAACTAACTGAATTCAGAAAGCTCACACTTGGCATCATGTAGTTTTCAGTGATGTGTAGTGTCTTCAATAGGTTAAAAACATTTTAGTTTTCTATACAATGTTAACTCAGTCTTGTGTGTATACACACACACACAAACACACACTAAGATTGCCTGTGCAACCTTAATTTGAACCCCTTATGTGTAGGCATTCTGAGATAGTCTTTAATTACATGATTACATACTATTTTTCCCCACAGGACCCTTTGCCTGTGTAACAAGCCTGACTTGTGGGGTATGGAGACAGAATCTGCAGGAAGTCCTCTAGCTTGTATGTAGAAAGGGCTAGAGCAGACATAGGGAAGAAGAAGAAGTCCAAAGAAGTCCACTACAGTAGCGTTTAGCTTCAAAAAGGGGAACTACACAAAAATTAAGAGAAAGTTAAACAAAGTAAAAGGAATAAATGGTTAGTTTTCACAGTGGAGAGGGGTAAATAGAGGGGCCCCCTAAAGATCTGTATTGGGATCAGTGCTATTCATAAATGACCTGGAAAAAGGAGTAAACAGTGAGGTAGCACAGTTTGCAGACAATACAAAATTTCTCAATATAGTCCAAAGTAGACCATGAAGAATTACAAAACTTGGTGACGGGGCAAGAAAATGGCAGAAGAAATTCAATCTTGATAAGTGCAAAGTAATGCACCTTTGGCAACATAATCCCAACTATACATACAAAATGATGGAGTCTAAATTACTTGTCACCGGTCAAGAAAGAGATCTTGAAGTCATTGTGGATAGTTCTCTGAAAAACATCTGCTCAATGTGCACCAGCAAACAAAAAAGCTAACAGAATGTTAGGAACCATTAGGAAAGGGACAGATAATAAGATAAAAAATATCATAAATCCATGGTAAAACTACACCTTGAATACTGCATGCAGTTCTGATTGTCCCATCTCAAAAAAGATAAATTAAAATCGGACAAGGTACAGAGAAGAGCAGCAAAAAATGATTAGGGGTATGGAACAGCTTCCATATGAGGAGAGATTAAAAAGATTGGGACTGTTTTGCTTGTAAAAGAGATGATTAAGAAGGGATATGATAGAGGTTTATAAAATCACGAATGGTGTGGATGAACTGAATAAACAAAGTGTTATTTACCTGTTCACATAACACAAGAACTAGGGATCACCCAATGAAATTAATAGGCAGCAGGTTTAAAACAAACAAACGGAAGTACTACTTCTCACAATGCACAGTCAACCTGTGGAACTAATTGTCAGGGGATGTTTTGAAAGCCAAAAGTACACCTGGGTTCAAAAAAGACTTAGAAAAATTCACAGTGGACAGGTCCATCAGTGGCTATTACCCAAGATGGTCAGGGATGCAACCCTATGCATCCAAAGAAGTGGGCTGTAGCCCACGAAAGCTTATGCTCTAATAAATTTGTTAGTCTCTAAGGCCTGGTCCACACTACCCCCCCACTTTGGACTAAGGTACGCAAATTCAGCTACAATTCGAAGTACCTTAGTCCGAACTTACCGCGGGTCCAGACGCGGCAGGAAGGCTCCCCCGTCGATGCCGCGTACTCCTCTCGCTGAGATGGAGTACCGGCGTCGATGGCGAGCACTTCCGGGATCGATCCCAGAACATCGATTGCCTGCCGTCGGACCCGGAGGTAAGTGTAGACGTACCCTAAGGTGCCACAAGTACTCCTGTTCTTTTTGCGGATACAGACTAACACGGCTGCTACTCTGAAACCTATGCTCTGGGTGTCCCTAAGCCTCTGACTGCCAGCTGCTGGGACTAGACGACAGGGACTGGATCACTTGATAACTGCCCTGTTCTGTTAATTCTCTCTGAAGCATCTGGCATTGGCAACTGTTAGAAGGAAGGACACTGAGCTAGATGGACTATTGGTATGACTCACTATGTGACCATTCTTATGTTCACATTCCAGGTGAGTAGCCTAAAAGCTGGGCTAAAGGTTATAAGAAGGGCATTGGTACCAAAACCATCATCATCTACTCCTTTTCCTAGCATTTTGTGAATCCTTATAAAAATACCCAAAACAAAAAGTTCCAGGTCAAACATGTTGCATTTGACTCAAAACACATTTTTTCGATATGCTGAAATTTTTCACAATTTTCAGATTCAGTTCAACCCAAATTGAAATTCTTTCCCCCAATTTTTCAGAAATGCCAGCGAACTGGGGGGACATAATCAGTTATCCACCCAGCTCTGGTGTGCATGACTATTCTGCGAGGCTAGCATAATCGGCAGTTACTTTTAAATTTTTACATCAGCACAGCACTTCTGTGAGACACCGCAAGGAGAATCTACGATATACAAATATGTTCTCTCTTTCTTCGTGGTTCAGATGAGAGAAGCAACAATGTGAGCGACAGCTTCTATATATGCAGCGTAAACCACAGTCACGGCAGTCCAGCGCCCTCTGCATTCTCTGCAGAGATGCCAATGCAGAGGTGACAGCCCAGGGTACCAGGCAAACAGGGGGTGACTGGGCCCCACGCCAGGCACGGATGCCCCCTAACCAGCAACACGGCAGCTCCTGCACCCGCTGACTGCACCTTCCCTCCCAGCCCCGCTGGAGTTCCCTGCTTGGGCTGGTGTGAGCAGAGGAGGCACGAGCACTCACAAACCTATAGTGACATCACTATACTCAACTGGTCCCCGCCCCACGCAGGGCCACGCTCACCGTATTGCGCATGCTCAGAGCAACTCCCTCCCGCCTGCCGCCCCCACCCCTCACAGGCACCATCATCCCGCCTGCGCAGTGAAACATTTGCGCCTGAGCAGCTTGCGCCTCAGGCCAAAAGGCCACATTTCGGCTACCACGCGCGCGCAGCTAAGCAAGATCGAGGTTCTTTTAGGGGCACTACGCACGCGCAAAAAAGGGACTGAGAAGCCCACTATGGGCAACAGACATGCGCACTAGAGGCTTCGACGAGTCTATGTGGCGCATGTGTGCACGCGCAATGGGCAGGCTGAGTCCGTCTCCGGGAGTGGAGCATGCGCGATGAAGGGATGGGCTAGTTTTGTAAGTGGCGCAGGCGCACTGAAGAGTTTGGGGACCGCAGCCCCGCTCGGTGGGGGAAAAAAAAACACCTCAGAGTTACGTCAGGAAAAGACGCCTTTGTGCACGGAGAGACCCGCGCGGCGCAGGCAGCTCCCAAAACGGGCGCGAGACGCGGCCGTTACTCACCCTCTCCGCCGTTAGCCGCACCCCACCCTGCTGCCCCCCTCGGCGCCTCCCTTCACGATTCGCCCGCGCGCGCTGCTGCCACCGCCGTGATTCCATCCATCTTGAATTTGACGTCATCCCACACCAGGGATGAGGTCATCGCAGGGAACGCTCGTCACGTGCGCAGTGTTGCGATTGGCCGGCGCCAGAGTGGGGGGTGCGGGAGAGGCGCTTGCGCTGGGGACTGGGTGGCGGTTAGGGGGAGTTACCGGGGTTCCCCCAACCGTCAGCCCCTCCTCGCGCCCTTCCCCTGCCGCTGGCGCGGCGGCCCTGCGCTCAGTGGGGGACTGGGGAGGCGCCTCTCGCCAAATCTCATCCCGGTCGCTGCGTCGGATGGGAGCCGCCTTCCCGCTACGCGCTGCGGGCCGGGCCTGGGCCGAGCCCGGGGGGTGGGGTAGAGAGCGGGGCATCCCCCCGTCCCCAGGGTGCGCAACGCGTCTCGCAGCGCCCGGGGATGGACTGGGCACGACTGCCGGCATCCGGGCTCAACACTGGCGGGGATGCAGCTGCGTGGAGCTGGGGGGACAGTCGGGGCTGACCTGCTTCCCGCCCGGGCCCACGCGTGCTGGCGGGTCCGAGGCGCCCCCAGCCCAGCCATAGCGCCGTGACCTCGCCTGGGACACCTGCCGCGCTGCCCGGTATCGCGTTCCCGGCCTGGCTGCGCTCAGCCGCGGAGTCCGTTTGGGCTGGGGTCGGCTTGCCCCGAGGAGGATCCAGCCCCTGTCCGTGGTGGCCTTGCCTGAGAGGCCCCAAGGGGCAGAGGTCGGGCTCCCCCAGCACAGACCTCAGCCCTCCCGGGGTTGGCAGGATGTCCAGAGCAGCGGGGTTCAGGTCTAGCCGCGCACTGAATTACAGCGGGCAGGACATCACCACTCCTGTAGCTGCGGTCTCAGGCTCGCTGCAGACTCAGGTCATGTTCTCCAGGGGGGTTGTAGCCCTGAGGTCTAGAAATGTTATTTACCTTTTTAAAGGGAACCCTGGTATTTTGACATGATCCCAGAAGCTGGGGCCTGGGACACATGCCTATAATGCCTGTGTTATGTTTTAATTAGGCTCTGTTTTTACAGTGTGTGCCTCCTACCTGCCCCCAGAGCCTCACTTATTTAGCAGGAGAAGGGTGACTCCTTCTGACACTAATTTACAGGCAGTTTTTAAGATTATAATTTCTTTATGTAGCGATAAGTAAAAAATATAACATTAAATAGCTCTGGGTGGTGCCTATGCTGTGTGGATAGGTAAAAGAACTACCTCTAGTACTGTATATTTAGCATCTTTAAGGTGTGATCCAAAGCTCATATTGGCTTTGGATCAGGATTGTAGTGAACATTTAACGACAGCAACAAAAAATAGCTGTTAGTCCACATAATATAATAAAATAATGGCCTGGAAAATTACATCTGATAAAATGTGCACTATTATTATCTTGGTCTTTTGACTAAAATCAAGCCATTTCATAAGGCCCACTGCCTGCTTCTACACAATATACTAATATACTATACCGGGGTCGGCAACGTTCGGCACGAGAAGCTGCGGCCAGCACATCGCTTGCCCGTGCCGCTTCCCGCCGCCCCCATTGGCCTGGGACGGCGACCGCGGCCAGTGGGGGCCGCGATCGGCCGAACCTGCCACGTCAGCAGGTAAATAAAACTGGCCCGGCCCACCAGGGTGCTTACCCTGGCGAGCCGTGTGCCAACGTTGCCAACCCCTGTACTATAAGTGTTTTGTCATTATGTTTACATCATTTTAATTTACACAAGTGTGTAAATAGACAATACTGTATATAGAAACAGCCTAACTAAATACATACAAAACAAGCTGAACTTAAAATATAAATCAATACAGGTGACTTTAAATCTTATTAAAATATGTAAAAAGAATGAGGAGTACCTGTGGCACCTTAGAGACTAACAAATTTATTTGGGCATACTCCTCGTTCTTTTTTTGCTGATACAGACTAACATGGCTACCACCCTGAAACCTATTAACATATGTAGAATTTGTCTGGCCCACACAAGATTGTGCTTAGGTTTATGTGGCTCTCCTGTGTAATAAGGTTGGGCACCGCTAGGTGCCTAACTGAAAGTATCCAAGTTGAACAAAGCCAAACTAACTAAAGTTATATCTATCTTCCATAGCTTTCAATGAGAGCAAGATCTGGCCCTTTGTCACTTCTAACACTAATAAGTAATACAGAAGCTGCAGGTAGAAAGATATCTAGTCCACATACATGTTTTTCGCTTAACATACCTCCTCCCCGTAATTATTAGTATTGATACTTTTTCTAGGTGGCAAATGTTTTTAAATAGATATTGGGATCTTAGTAATTCATAAATAGTTTGGTGTTGCTGTAAAAGAGCAAATTATTTCAGAAAGCTATAATAATTTAGCTTCTAGTTTACTTTGCTGTTATTCATTAGATATTTGTTTATGGATCCAGTGTTTCCCATTTTAATAGTGAGATTATGACTACCACAGTCGAGCCCTTGATAGTGGCATGCATGGAATCAGCAAGTTTGTTTTCTGTTTTTCATCTTTCTTGGGTGGATTAGGTACTTATTTATCTATACCAATTTGAAATATGATTCTTATAGATTTGATTGTTTAAAAGGATATAGGACTACGTGCAGCTAAATACTTTAGCATGAGCATAGTCTCATTGAGTTAGCTGGAATTGCTCAGATACTTAAGTATTTTGCTGACAGAGACATAATGTGATCATTTTTGTTGATGCTAACAAAACCGAGGCAAGTGATTGTAATATATACTCTTTTTTTGGGGGGGGGGGGGGTTTAAATTGTTCTTGGGCGCATCCATTTTTTCCAATTCATTCATTATTCAAAATTGTTTGAATGATTTCTCAGTTCTTGCTTTGTCACTTTTTTTGTGAACAGTTTTGCAAATATTTAAAATGTAAGATGTTTTGGTGGGATTCTTACATTTTATCATATGTTTCTGTTATATGAAGGAAGTAGCACAACTTTTAGAATCTGATGCAGATATTCATGTTTATGATTTAAAATCTTGCTTTCTACCAGCCAATATTTTGTTTAAATTTACTGTATCTGAATATTTGTGCCAATAAACTCATTTATTGGAATATAAGCAGAAAGTAAACCCAAACAGAACTCAAACATATTCAAAAATTTGAGCAAATACATACAGCTTCCCCTCCCCCAAAATATTCACTTGCACAAATGAAAAAAAATGTTCAGTTGCTTCAGCTACATGTGCAAGTACATAAAGTAACTCTGGCTTGTTTGTATTTCACATGTTTCATTGTATAGGGTCCAGACCTGCACTCCTAACTTGGGAAAAACTCCAGTTGACTTCAACTAACTTATAATAATGTAGTCTACTTCTATTCCTATAACACAGATTTACTGGTTTCACTTTTTTTGGTGTACAACCAATCAGACAATACATATATTGTGAAATACCCCCATTCCAGTACTATGGATTTTGTGTAACAAATATTAACTAGGATTATCAAGCAATTAAAAAAATTAATCGCACTGTTAATAATAGAATACCATTTGTTTAAATATTTTTGGATTTTTTCTACATTTTCAAATATATTGATTTAAATTACAACACAGAATTCAAAGTGTACAGTGCTCACTTTATATTTAATTATAAATATTTTTGTAAAAAACAAAAGAAATAGTATTTTTCAATTCACCTAATACAAGTACTGTAATGCTATCTCTTTAGCATGAAAGTTGAACTTAAAAATGTAGAATTATGTACAAAAAAACCCCTGCATTCAAAAATAAAACATTGTAAAACTTTAGATTCTACAAGTCCAATCAGTCCAACTTCTTGTTCAGCCAATCGCTCAGACAAACAAGTTTGTTTACATTTGCAGAAGATAATGCTGCCTGCTTCTTGTTTACAGTGTCACCTGAAAGTGAGAACAGGTGTTTGCATGGCACTTGTAGCCAGAGTCGCAAGATACTTACATGCCAAATGCACTAAAGATTCATATGTCCCTTGATGCTTCAACCACCATTCCAGAGGACATGCGTCCATGCTGATGACGGGTTCTGCTCAATAACTGCAATGCAGCGTGGACCGACGCATGTTCATTTTCATCATCTGAGTCAGATTCCACCAGCAGAAGGTTGATTTTCTTTTTTGGTGGTTTGGGTTCTATAGTTTCTGCATCAGAGTGTTGCTCTTTTAAGACTTCTGAAAGCATATTCCACATCTCATCCCTCTCAGATTTTGGAAGTCACTTCAGATTCTTAAATCTTCGGTCGAGTACCGTAGCTATCTTTAGAAACCTCACATTGGTATCTTCTTTGCATTTTGTCAAATTTGCGTTGAAAATGTTCTTAAAATGAACAACATGTGCTGCTGGGTCATCATATGAGACTGCTATAACATAAAATATATGTCAGCATGTGGGTAAAACAGAGCAGGAGATATACAATTCCCCCCAAGGAAATCAGTCACAAATTTAATTAACACTTTTTTTTTTTAAACAAGCATCATCAGTATGGAAGCATGTCCTCTGGAACAATGGCCGAAGCATGAAGAGGCATATGCATCTTTAGCGCATCTGGCATGTAAATATCTTTCGACGCTAGCTACAACAGTGTCATCCGAATGCCTGTTCTCACTTTCAGGTGATGTAATTAAGAAGTGGGCAGCATTATCTCCCGTAAATGTAAACAAACTTGTTTCTCTTTCCAATTGGCTGAACAAGAAGTAGGACTGAGTGGACTTGTAGGCTCTAAAGCAGGGGCTGGCAACCTTTCAGAAGTGGTGTGCCGAGTCTTCATTTATTCATTCTAATTTAAGGTTTTGCATGCCAGTAATACATTTTAACATTTTTAGAAGGTCTCTTTCTATAAGTCTATAATATATAACTAAATTCTTGTTGTATGTAAAGTAAATAAGGTTTTTAAAATGTTTAAGAAGCTTCATTAAAAATTAAATTAAAATGCAGAGCGCCCCAGACCGGTGGTCAGGACCCGGGCAGTGTGAGTGTCACTGAAAATCAGCTCGCGTGCCGCCTTCGGCACATCTGCCATAGGTTGCCTACCCCTGCTCTAAAGTTTTGCATTGTTTTGTTTGAGTGCAGTTATGTAACAAAAAAAACTATTTGTAAGTTG